AGTTTGGCAGAGGCACACTCTTACCATCTGACCTGAAAGATCATTCATCATATAAACTAATCGGCTTCGTTAAGAAGCTGGGATTATTTGGTCGAATGTGAATAGGTGTAAGTCACAATAAACCCTTGCGAGTTGAGGTGGAGGGTCGAATAGACTCATTTACTTTTGACCTAGTTTAACCTATCGAGTAAGGTATAATAGAGAGAGAAGTATCAATGGGAATGAAAGATCTTATAATTTCGAGGTTTAATTAACCTTAACGTTTCTCAATTGTTTTTTTTTTACAGATGAGATATAAATTGAGTTCACCTGTTGATCTTTGCTTTGAAACCCATTTTAATGGTCACTTAAGATATTGAAGCTTACTAAAATTGTGAGTTTTGATCTAACTGAGCAACTTGCCTCTTATTAATTGGAAGATTCTCTGTGACGTTTTCAGTTACACTCTGAAATGTAGGATGGGGGTGCTTCATTAGGACCAGAAACTGTGTTGATATTGAGTTGTTTCAGGACTTGTTTAATTAGATTATGTTGAAAGGTAATTGCTAGCACTGAAATGTATGACATCTAAATATTGTAGCATGCTTATCTGATTCAAATAACTCTATTTTTTCATATGGTATCCAATGTATCTCTTACCAGTTATGCAAATATCTCAACATCATAATGACCCAGAGTTTGGGAGTCTGGGAGACGACCATTGCCGTTTTTGAATATTACTGTTTTGTTTATCTTCAGTCAGGACTCCCAGTGGTAAATGCTCGGAAGTTCTGAAGCAACATAAACTTCAATGTATCTATTTTATTTTAGTGCTAACAGTTATTGCATATTTCACACATAACAAGTTGCATATATGTATAGTATAGCCAATTATAGATTATGGTGTTTCCAACCTGATTGTTTACCACACAAAACCCTGTGTATAAAACAAAATTGTTTGAAAACCATTGAAATCAGTAGTGTTTCTTTATTTTGCATCATCCCTTATATGTAAGCAGTTTAATAGCATATTGTTGATGTCAAGTTGAGTGAAATAAAAAGATAACTTNAATCAGCTATAGCCAAACATACACTCAAAGAATGCACTCACCACATTTATCTAGTTTGAAGAAACACAATAGAAATTCATAAACACGGAGAAAATTTCAATAGAAAGGAAAAGGGAATTAACATAAATGAAATCTGGCCGTCTCTCCTTGATTGTGGCATTTTATCTAACAAATAGAAACAAAGCCACGCACCGGTGGAATAAAACCGGAAGCAAATTCCAATAATATAGTACTCGTATCTGCTGTGAAAACGACCCGAACATTTCGTCCATTGCCTTATTTCCTTTAATGCCTAGCCTTCTGTAATGTCAGTGGTAGTAGAGGAAATGTCAGGCATGAAAACCTGTATATCACAGAAAATGGTTTTGATAGATATCACAAATCGGGAAACTGTCTGGCTTTGACACTGAAAATCAGTAACAGTAAAAAACTCTAACAAAGAAATTTTGATATTTAAGAAATAAGTTATCGAGGTGACAATTCATTATGTTTTATTAGTGCTATATTATTATGTTTTATTAGTGCTATATTAGTTTTTTTTATGGTGTTTATAAATACCATGATTCCAGCGGAGAACATCAACATAATTTGTAGGTGGCAAATCGCAATTTTGATGAAAGTTTTGAGATTTTTTAAAAATCGTTAATATCATTGGAAAGGCCAAATGATGCATTTCTAATGACTTGTACGTTTTTTGCAATTATTGCAATACATTATTGATTATTTTTGGCGTACATCACAGTGACATGCATATTTTCAAAGTTCACTTTTGTCTAACACATAAATTTCAGATTGTTTGCAATTTTAGTCAATTTCCAAGATTCATTGATGTGGCATATATACGGAAGTTGTCATTTTATTTGTTGGTCATTAATACTTATCATTGTGCAACAAAGTTTAATTTCATGAAACGAATTGGTTAAGGCTTGAAACTTTTTTCAATAACGGTCTTTTTATTGGAGAGAAAATATTTTGTATATTCCATGCAAAAAATGCCCCATCATCGAGCTTCTTACTCGATCATCAATGTATCATTTTTTGACGAATAATAATAATAATTGCTTCATAATCTACAACTTACGATTTGGTCTTCACAAACTTTATTTGTGATATACTGTTTGGAACCTTTGGTGTAGTAATGAATATTACTGGAGTTTTTTCCCAACACCAAATCGTTATTTTTACACCTCGAGGAAGATAAAAGATAAAACTTTTTATCTTTTATCTTCCTCTTGAAGATGATCACTTGGTGATCGAAACACGTGTCGAGGTGTAAAAATAACGATTTGGTGTTGGGAAAAAACTCCAAAGGTTGGCAGTGCAAACTACACATTTGGACTGGTACAATCAAGGCTACATTATGGATTGATTTTCTGGGGTAACTCTGCATGTAGTGACCGCATTTTTAAGGTTCAGAAAAGATTAATTAGATGTATGGACAAGTCTCGTCCACTGGACTCTTGTGAACCATTATTTAAAAAATTTAGCATCTTATCATTGCCGTGCCTCTACATATTACAGATAGTGTTATTCATCTATGATAATAAACATCAATATCCGAAAAACTCTGATATACATAATTAATAAATGGATGGATGTAGCCGTTACTACATGGTAGGAAATCATAATGAAGAAAAAAGAAATGAAACTTTCTTTGTTTTTACCACTTTTATTTTCAAATAACGTTACTGCAGTTTCGTCCTTAAGGACATTTTCAAACTTATACAATAAACTCATACAATATTGTATAAATTTGAGAATGTCCCTATAGGACGAAACTGCAGTAACGTTAGTTACAAATAAAAGTGGTAAAAAAACATAGAAAGTTTCATTTCTCTTTTCTTCAATATACGTAATTACGTTATTCGGAATGAAGATACCTTATACCACCCCTACTCTCGCTTGAGTGTGAGTCAGAATATTCCAAAATACTTGGGTATTAAATACTTCAATAAAATAACAACTTTTATAGGGATCAATAAAAGTAGAACTGTAATGAGGAATGAACTATATGGTTTCTTGTTGGATAACTGCTTCTAGTGTGGATGAATTTCTTGCTTTCAGTACTTAGATAAACGACATAGTTTCTTTTATACATGTCTTTTTTTTCAATTTATTCAAGATCAAACATTTACTTGAAATTTATTGAATCCTACCTTTCCGGTAGATCGCAGAATGTGAGGATAGCTGACAGTGTGTCAGAAACAATTCATGTAACTTCAGGGGTTCCGCAAGGTTCGCACATTGGTCCTATATTATTTCTACTCTTTATTAATGATGTTAAATCAGTGTTTAAACACTGTAATATCTCTCTGTATGCGGACGACCTTAAATTTTTCAAAACAGTGCAATCTACCAATGATATTGAATGTATACAGAATGACCTAGATAGCTTTTGTACCTACTGTAATACTAATTGTCTAAAAGTTAACATTGAGAAATGTAATATGTTGAGATTTTATAGAATGAGACAGCCTGTCATTGGAAACTACTCCATTAATGATGCAACTCTTCAAACTGTCAAAAGCTTATGCGATTTGGGAATTACTTTCGATAAAGATCTAAGCTTTATTGATCATATCAATAATATCTGTAATAAAGCATTCAGAATGCTCGGATTCATCAAAAGGAATACCCGGCATATTACAGAATATGATGCTATAAAGACATTATACTNTCAGGAAACCAAGTATCATATATATTAGGATATCCTCAAGAAATATACTCTGCAGAAAAGATATTGACATTTCCAATACTGAAACGCAAGTGAACAATATCGAAACAATTATTCAATAATAACATTAATAAGTGTTAACAATAGCTCTTAAATAACATTTCTAAATGCAGAAATGAATGAAGAATCAGTTTTTTACAGCGCGACATACAGCTTGTCAAATGTAGGAAGAGCTTTCTGAATCCCAGTTGTTTAAAATCACCAAATATATGAAGCAAAAATCTCCAGATTTGAAAAAATATCACCAGATTTCAGAAATTCTGTCTATTGAATGAAAATTGAATAGGAAGTTGTGACCAAAACTAAATACTATTTTTGGAACAGAAAATATATTAAAATAAATACTCATACTTACATAATAAATGAAAAATTAAATCAGGGATTGTATTTAACATTTTGTCTTCAATCGAGGACCACCTGCTCAGTACTGACTATGCCCAACAGGCTGAAACAGCTGTCTATCGGTAGATATTAAACTGGAATCAATATGGGAATGATCAGAATAGTACTTATCTATTCATCTTTTCATTTTCATGGAATTATTTTCCAGCAGCTTGGTTGTACTGTACTGATTTTTTCTCTATAATCCAATAATCCGAACATTTCAATCATCGGACGCCCTATGGTTTTTAACAGTGCCAGAATAGTGAGATTCCACGTTACTTCACAAATTCAGAATTACACAGATTACTCTTTTTTTTCCCCAGTTTGTATATTAAACAATCATATATTTATTGAGTTGTAATTACATGCATTGCCTTAATTCTCAAACTAAACCTAGGGTTCCAGTTGTAAAAGTTTCTATCAACAGTTCAAATCATTCAAAATACTGCTGATGTAGAGTTGAAAACGACTGTTTTCACCAGAAACTCTTGGAGCAGGTTCGAATTGAAAGTCATTTATGATTCATGTAAGGTGAATTGAAGCTTCTAACCAGATAAGTAATTTTCAAAGAAGTTTTTGGGAGATAAAAAACGGAGGACGAAGGTAGTATTTCACTGGGACTTCAAGATACTACCTTCATCCTCGCAGTCAACGCATATATCATGGGAGATGTCTGCCACACTGGTGGACAAAACTTTTGGTACTACAAGTTTTGTTCGACCAAGGCATACCAGCCGGATTTTCTACTCTTATGATTCTGGTCGTGATAGCCTATGTTCTTATAATATTTGTCTTATTTCACATTATTACTCTTTCTGAGATTGTGGTGAATTATTGATTTATATATTTTGCAGAATGGCCATGATGATGTGTCCCAGTTTGATACCAAATTTACAAGACAACCTCCTATTGATTCTCCTGTTGATTCAGTTCTCAGTGCAAGTGTCGATTTAATATTTAAGGTAAGCATGAAATATATCATGTCATTTTTCACAAAGTAAAAAGTGTCAATACTTGTCAGCCAACAGACTTTATAATGGGCTTCTTGTAACTTTTGAAATTTGTATTATTACCAATGGATTGTGATATTAATGCTAATTTGTTGTGATAATAATAAGAGCATCCGCAGGGTTAACTGAATATATTATGAACTATAATTTTTTTTACATTTCACACACTTTAATAATTTTTTTTTAATTTTCTACGTCAAATTTGATACAAATACATTGACCCAGTTGTTCTTACAAATCACACTTCAGGGCCATATATACCAACATAATTTAAAGAAAATGACAATCGGAATCTACAAACCAATGGAATTCAAAAATATTCTTTGTTTTCTGAAAATACCTTTTTTTAGGAAATGCTTTTATAGCACAAAAGGGAATTCTGAGGTCCATAGCGAATTGTTCAAACAGAGAATCATGCAAGGCATTTGCAGTTTATATTGTTGAACTGCCTATGTATGTGTTCAAGAATATATCAACTTTCACAACAAATCTAAAACTTCGACATTTTACTAGAACTAAAAACCATTTTCATTTGCCCTTAGCTAGATTCAAAGTAACATAATGTGGCTGGAATATATTGGTCCAAAGATATTTAACCACCTCACAGATCATTTGAAGGCCTTGAATAATTTCTCTGTGTTGAATTAGAAATACTGCATAGAGGTGTCTCCACTAGCCCCATATTATGGAGGTGTTTCCTTAGTTGACAGTGGCCAGTTGGAAATCCTACTGGTAAGCGTAGATTTCCCAGGGTCGCCCAGGGTGATCCTGGCAAGATTTCATCCTTCGATTTCGTCCCATCTCTTTAGGGATTGAGCATGGGTGTGAAGGTTGGCTAGCTCCGCAATTATCAACGTCATCAGATCGTAGGTGCCCCTGGTTCCTAAAATTCTTAGTCCAGCCGCTTCCCTGGCTAAAGAGTCGGTATGGGTATATGTTTAGAGGAGGTTTTTGAACACTTGATTCTACTTTTTACAAAAAATTTTATGCAAATTCTTTGATCCGTTTTTTTCGATAGCAGAAAATCGCCAAATACACAAAACACTTCGAACTTTTGTATGCCTCTCTCTAACAAACTAAACATGATAAGCAGCTGAAAATAAAAAATCGCTAATCGAATGTACCTTGCCTGCGAAATTTGAACATTCACCTTATTTTTTTTAACAGACCTCGTGTATTTGAAATATTGGATGTTTGAGACTTTCATTTTTTCAGGGCTTCACTTATGTAGCCCCATCACTTTTAGAAGATTTGCCAAATATGAGAGCTCACTGTGCCAATAATAGGATGGCAAACGGAATGGAAGTACTCTCAAACGAAATGGAGCAGCTGCCAAATGGAACGGCACATGAAAATGAAATGGACCAACTGCCAAACGGAATGGAGCAACAAGAAAATGAAATGGTCGCTCAAGCAAGCGAAATGGCCCAACAGGCAAATGGAAATGGAGCACGAGCAAATGGAATGGTGCATCAGGGAAATGGATTCATTGTGCCTGATGAATACCACGATGAAAGCGATGAAGATGAACCAGCTTGTACCTTTTCAATTACATCTGGCCTCAATCAAACTCTAGCTTTCAAAGATGAAGCATGTTTACAGCCCTCGATAAGTCAGAATCAGAACTGCATAGGTTAGTAATCATCTGTTATTGAACATTTTTATAATGGACCATATTGATGATGCCCATTCTAATTTTGTTTTCCTATGCATGTCTTATGAACATCAACTGTTGTAGCTTTCTTACGTAATTCTAAATTGGACAGTTTCATCTATAGTGACTGAGAGAGAATGAGAGAAGTATCTTTATTGAACCACTTGAATATACATTCCATCAAATTTTATATCTTTTATCAATGATAGTCGTGTAACGAAAACATTTTTGGGCTTGAAGGCATGAAATTGTGTTGTGTTACAATAATTATAACAATTTTTCAAGATCACATTTACACTGGTTGATATAACATGTAAAAAGTAGGTTACACCAGGGTTACTACATATGTGAGGGTTGCGATTCATTTCACAACTCCTTTGACATCTGTCAAAGAAGTTGAGGAATAATAAATACAGTTTAAAAAAACTACAAAACACGCTTTCAAAGAACATTGAACAAAAAAGTATGTATAATTTCCAAGCTCTTTTTGACAAAAAAATATTAAATATGACAAGTTACTAATGAATACAACATTTTTCTTTGTTAAAAATACTTTAAACTTAGGCAGTAACTTAAAAGTTTGCCCTGCACGAGTATAAAGTTCTCCATTACAATTTTCACAGAAGTTCGATAAAAAACTGACTTTTTTCCACAAAAAAAGGGTTTTGTTCATATGGCAATGACCTTCAAATGAAGCTACAAATATCAATAAAAAAATGATAAAATATCGTACCCTCCCCTTATATATTAACCCTGGGTTATACCACATTTTCTGAACATCAAAAAAATGTCAAATCCTTATTAAATATTTTGACATATGCCTTTCAAATAGTTTTAATTTTGTGATGATGAAATAATCACACAATATTTCAATAACGAGATATCTTGTATTGACCATATCAGACAAAAAATTATCTGAAATGTCAGTTAAGTTTCGTCCATTATGATGTGTTTTTATAGTCCCTCATCACAAAAATATCTATACGTACATATACACACATATATACATATGAAAATATGGTAAAAACAAATGTTTACCACTATAAAGAAAATGTCCACATGTATAAAATGTGGTAATAAGAACTTTCAGCTTTAGGAACATTGCCATTGAGCAGTGGTTTGAATGCAAGGCAAAGATACAATGGAGTACCAACAATTCCAATACCACTCAGTCAGAATTACAATAACCGATTCCCTAATATAAATTCAAATGTCAGGAATAACCAGGCAGGCGGTTCTCAAGTTTCTAATCACAGGCCTGTTCATATTACTGCCGCTATGCATCGAATACAGAACCATCACAATTCCTTCGCTACAATCAATTTTGGAGCAAATACCTCTGCTGCTGGTGAAGAAATGATGGAAGTGAGTAGCGGTCTACCTCATGTATAGCGTAATATAGTTCAATATAATATTCTTTTGTATGAGAATTAGAACTTTTTTAAATATGAATGAAATGTTCATTAGTTCAATTATGTTTTATGTTATTATTTAGATGAAGATTTCGATTTTTCTGAAGGAATGTTGAAGGACAAACATATTTCTTTATAAAAATTTTTGATTGCAAAAATAAGACTAATCCAGAAATCATCTAACTCGCTAATGCAAATTGACAATAAAATACCACGGGAGTAAATCTTCTTCGTTGCCCTGGCATCCAATTTGTCCTTGACTCCAATGTCTTTGTTACATATTTCCTATGATTTTCTTCCCATAAGTTAACAGAGAGGTCAACTGAGAAATGAAGGAATTCGCTTCAAATACTGTTCAAAGTTCACATGTTGAACCATTCAAACTTTTTATACGATATTCTATGTGTGTGTTCTTTAATATTATTAGCATATCCTACAAATCATAAATTATATAATCTTACGAGGGTGGTCTGAAAAGTTTCCGGCGTAACAAAGATACCAAGATTTTTTTTTCTTCAACATAGTCCCCTTTTAACTCTATACACTCCTCCCAGCGATGCTTCCATCTATGTAACCTGTCCAAATAGTATTCGGCTTTTTCCTCTGCAAAATAATTGTTCATGAAGGCGATTGCATCTTCATTTGATGAAAATCTGTTTGAGTGAAGTGGATGGTCAAGCAGTCCAAACCGTAATTTGTGGATTTTCGCCATGGTAACTGCTGAAGTGTTAGACTGTGCTTTTGTCTTGGTGAAACAGTATTTTCTTTTTCTGCAAATGTGGCCTTTTTTCGCAAATTCTGTCTTCGGCTTGTCAAGTAATGATGCTTAGTATGCTCCTGTAACAGTTTTTCCCTTTTTGAAGATAATTAAAATAACTCCATGACTATCCCAACATGAGTAAACGCGGCACCCAACGTACGGAGAGATTTCTCATGTTGATACAATATGTGGCAAACACGTTCTTTGATGTGTTCATAACCTCTGCTAACTCTCTCACTTTAATTCGGCGCAATGTTTAAATTCAGCTGCCTAAAATGTCACTGTGGTAAATGGTGATGCAGAGTTCCCATATTGATTTGTGTAGGCAGTATTCCCTTTCAAAGACAAATATTTAACGACAGCTCGATACTTGATTGTATCCATTTTCATAAAAACACTCGCATCAACTTACTCAAAAGATTGTTATTTAACAACTGCACGTTCAAAATGGCTGAAACTTTGGTGAGTAACTGTCAACAAATGAACAATGAAATTCACTAGCTTTTATTTACAAGTGCTGCTATCATCATGTTTGGGTCGGAAACTTTTCGGGCTACGTTCTAATTTACTAAAAAAAAACGTATTTTTGTCCTAATTCAATATCTTTTATTCAAACTTCAATATTGCTGATATTAGGCTGGTAGTATTTTTACAAAGGGCATCGATAATATTTTTTTTCTATTCAAAGTTGATGAAAATATTGAAAAGTTGAATAGTTTGAGAGACGTTTGTTATATTTTCAAAATGTTTAAAAAAATAATTCATATTTTTGTGTTAGTATTTTTAAAATGCAAGAAATATTTGAACACTTCTTTTTTACTCCTCATCATTACTTAGTTTAAACTACTGATAGATACCATTTTTTATTTATATTTTCATGATTGGTAAAAATATGTATATACTCAATATTACTTAAATCTCAAAAGTTGAGATACACTATACTCGAGAATAGAGCAGTGTTGTTTGAACATCAATTTCAGAATACTAAGAGGTAGATTTTGATTTATTTTTTGTGTTGTGTTATGGGACTTTTGTACCTGTGTAGTCATATTATTTTTTATGTATTGAGAATACTATTTCTTAAATAAAAGCACAGGTTACTGCTAATATTGTTTTTTTTTTCAATGAGAATCCTCAATAACATTTTCAATCATCAGCATGTTGTTATGAATGTTCACCACAAAGCAAGAACTATACTCTACAAGCTTGAAAATAGTCACATTGACTAATTTTTTGCAACTAATTGAATTGGCAATCCATTTCCCAAAGACTATTTGCCCTGCACGAGTATAAAGTTCTCCATTACAATTTTCACAGAAGTTCGATAAAAAACTGACTTTTTTCCACAAAAAAAGGGTTTTGTTCATATGGCAATGACCTTCAAATGAAGCTACAAATATCAATAAAAAAATGATAAAATATCGTACCCTCCCCTTATATATTAACCCTGGGTTATACCACTTTTTCTGAACATCAAAAAAATGTCAAATCCTTATTAAATATTTTGACATATGCCTTTCAAATAGTTTTAATTTTGTGATGATGAAATAATCACACAATATTTCAATAACGAGATATCTTGTATTGACCATATCAGACAAAAAATTATCTGAAATGTCAGTTAAGTTTCGTCCATTATGATGTGTTTTTATAGTCCCTCATCACAAAAATATCTATACGTACATATACACACATATATACATATGAAAATATGGTAAAAACAAATGTTTACCACTATAAAGAAAATGTCCACATGTATAAAATGTGGTNACAAATAGTGTGCCTTGGACTCCTTCTAGGGCAGCTCTGAAAAGGAGAAAATATCCCCTATGCGCAGCTTCAGATTCACTCTGAACCGGAAGGGTAGCAACATGTAAAGGTCCCTTGTCCATGGATACAACTAGAAAATGTGAGGAATCACCTGACCATGATGTGATATGTTGTTAACAGCTCCTGAGGGCGACACTACTTTGAGGCAGCGCAAAAAGAAAACAGAATGAATTTTCAAGCACAGCCAGCATGTATAGGATTATTGGTCACAATAAGACTCAGATGTGCATTCGAGATGACTTTGAAAATATATACCGCGGTCGTAGACGAAACGATAGCCATAAAAATCTGTAAAACGGCATAGACAAAATCATTCAATTGTTGACATAAATGAAGTGCTCATTATGTGTTTGCTGTATTCTCCCAATTTCAATTGAATGAGTACACTTCAAAGCAAGATCTCATGCACAAATGTTTGCCTTCCTATTTTCGACTACACACAAGATATATCCTGCAACTTCTCTAATAGGCTGAACATGATCACCTTCATAATCCAAAATATCAGGATATCCAAAATTTCATCTCATCTTTCGATGTTCTCAAAAATTACATTATATAATTGTATAATCCAACCCCATTTTGATTATTGTGCTAGTCTTTTATACTCATTTGACCAAAATAAGGTATCGGCTT